TTATGAGACATATCTGTTCAGAGAGAGAGAGAGAGAGAGAGAGAGAGAGAGAGAGGTTGATTGAGTTTTAAGTAAAAAATATCAATTTACTGCCAACTGTTTTCACGACTCTATTACTATTAGGACGTATGATCTCATGAGTGTTTGAATTATAGATTTAGAGCCATTACTAAAACATTTGAAGTGATAACTCCTAAAATTATACGTCAAATGCATTGACAATTTTCATTACCCCTAAATTTAAAGTAAGTTATGGTCTAATATTCAGTTATGATAATAATGTTTAAGGCCTTTTTAGTTATTAACTCAAACCACTTAATGTTATTAAAGAGTTATGCGTTTGTAAAGAAAGTGATTTATATTATTAATGCATTTGAGATATAAATTTTATTAAATTATTGTATTAAGAGCTGGATAAATTCAGATAATGAACGTCGCTTTAAATAAAACCATACTTTCTATAAATTCATGTAAGAATTACTGGAATTTATTTTTTAAAGAAGTACAGTAAACATAATTTTAATTTACATGAATTACATAGTACTTTATATTAAATGATTGCAATTATTGTAAAATACAACGTGAATACAGGTGGCCTGGCTTAGGGTCGAGAGCAAAACGATCCTGACCATTCATCACCACGTGATTACACGCAATAACCGAATCAGTTTGAGTCAAAGCGATAGCAATGTTTGGACACTTCATATAAAGAATATCCAGGACTCGGATCGGGGAGGTCTGGCCTTTCTATTCACACTTTTCAATGAAATGATGTATTGATTACATGATATATGAATGGATGTGAATTGAATTTACAGGCTATATGTGTCAGATCAACACAATGCCAATGAAGAGTCAGGTGGGATACGTGGAGGTGACGGGTAAGCATTCATTCATTTGTCAATTCATGTCTTTCCACTCATTTAGTGGACACACATTTACTTAACAATCGTTTAAAGCAATATATCGGTGCGATTGTGGTGTTTATATGGTTTATATCATAAAGCATTAAATTGTCATTTTTATTGATGTTATTTATATAAGAGATAGTGTAGTGTATTGTAAAGCGCCGTTAGTTTCATCCAATTGTGCGGAAAGACAATGAAAAAACCGCTGACAGAGGAGTAAATAATGTTCACTATATATAAGGCATAAGAGATAATAACGATTTTTCATATTATGCTAAATATATGTAATTAAATGATCAAAGTTTTGCTCAATTACTAAAGCTTTTGTTTAATCGCATCAATATTAACCAAGTTTTCAACATAGAGTCTGACTTAACTCAAAAAATTTTAAAAACTTTCTTTTTATTAAATTAAGTTTGCCTTCAAATACACGCATATTATAAGCGAAATGCATATCAAATATACTGTACTATACTTTGCATACTTATTGTGTTAATCTATATTTGCATACATTTTTCGTGCATATTATATAAGCAGTGAATTTGTCATTTCAGAGCATCACTACTCTATAACTCAATTTATTCCTCACTTTATTTAATACTTTGTTTCAGATCTTTATATTTGACAAAATGTCGGTAAGAAATTGGTTTGACTTTCACTTTGATTGCATTTCCATTTACCCTGATTATAGAAATTTAAACTTTTTTGATAACAAATCCTCGATATTTGGATAGAATTAGTTGGAGAAAATGAACTCAAAAAGCATATCGACTTATAGTTGCAATGAAGTGAAGATTTGATCATAATTTAGTTTATTTATAAATTATTCAAATGAATAATTCATTTATTATATGAATTACTCTTTGATAGTTCCGCCGGATTTCGTTAATTCTGAGACCAGTACTGATGTAATGGTGAGAGAGAACCTGAATGTGACGTTAAAATGCAAAGCTAAAGGACATCCCGATCCCCGGTAAGACTTTTTTGTCACTTTAAATAAACATAATTATTTATTTCGACGAATTAAACAATTAAAGGTTTCATTAACTTAATTAACACTGCTTATTTTATTTCACTTTTCATTACTTAATTTATTAATAAATTTATTTTTAAATCCTGAATATTCGGTAAACTTTTATCTATTAAGATCTTGATTTTATTCATAAGCCCAACAACTTCATAAATAACCACTACTTACTAATGCATAAAAATAAATTTAATTGAAAACTCAATAATTTGATATTCAAAGCATTCATATTTATATTTTAATTGATTTTTAATAAAACATTACAAATTTGCCAAATATAAATGAATTTCTATAATTAATTACTTTTTTAGCAAATATAGTAATTGTTTAATGCAATAACTTATCTTTTATTTTTACTTTATAATTAAAATTAAACTATAAATTATTTTTAAAGTGATGTGCATTATTTTAACCGATTTTCTTAATTATAAATATTAATAATTTTAATGAAACAAAAGTAAGTTTTGTTATTTATTGCATACGGTATACTAAAAGACACACTCTGTATAATAGATGTGCGGGATATTCATTGTCTAATTTATTCAAAGTATAGATTAGAATTATTTGCATATACTGTATATGTAATTAATTACAATATTCTGTATAAACAGTATATTTCCATTAATATATTATATTAATGGGATTCAACTTTTTTTTAATAATATAATATACGCTCATGTAAATAAAATTATTTTAAATATGCAGTGCATAAATTGGCAAATCCTTAACATTATTTACCTGATTATTATCAAACTATGATTTTCTTGAATCAACCATATTTTCAAGAGCTACTAGTCTATTTGTTATTCTAGTTACGAGTTTATTTATGAAACAACTTGCTAATTTATTAAAATGGAGTGCACATTGTAAACATGATGTCAAGCATACTTTACTGCAATACACTCATGCACTACAATATTGCCACTATTATTCATAACAATCCAATTTATAATAGGTATTACAGAATTTAGTGTAGAATATAGTAAATTACAACTGAATTCTAATTGTATTTGAATAAATATTTAACTTATTTATTTTGTGAATTTTTATTTTCAATTTTATAAAGATTATGTTATACAAGTTAGACATTTTTAAAAATAATTAGATTTGTAATATAAGATAAGTTAGCAGTTAATCATAAAGTGGATGTGATTTGAATGATAGATGTATTGATGTATTGATTGTGATGTTGACTATAGGCTCACGTGGAGGAGAGAAGACAATCAGCCACTAGAATACGGCAATTGGCAGCTGAATAAGAATCAGGGCATAGACTCCGGTATGTGTTGTGTGTTATATATGGTATGCCTTGTTATCTGTTTTATGAGACATATCTGTTCAGAGACCACATTAGATGGAGAAAAATTAACGATTTATAAAGTGAGTCGACTTCATATGGGCGCATATCTGTGTATATGGCTTTAAGACTACACTCTTCGCCACTTTATTCACTCCATACATAAGAAAAATGTGATTTCAATCTTCAAAAAACTTCTTTTTCCATGAATTTTAATGAATAATCGATTAGTTTGTGTATAAAAAAACTCAAGTATCGATTCAGTCGTTAGATAATTATATGACTGTTATGTAAGCGAGAAGTCAATAATCAGTTGTCATTAGATTATAAGCGAATAAAAGGATTATAACCCGATATACATAAAAGTCAATTGCAAGGCAGGAAAATAAATAAAATTAAACACTGACTGCAATCAGAGAGATGTAAATATTATTATTATTATTATTCTCTGGTGCTTGTTTAGATCTGATCGGAGACAAAAATGTACTGTACAATATACAAACTGTATTATATAATATAAAAACGTGAGTCACAACCGGGAAATTTCATTAAGATTTTAAAAACTGATTTTTTCTATATGTATAGCAAAACACATTCAAAACATTTAATTTCCTGATTTAATTGTTGGCTTAACTTAATTGCAATGACTTNAAGATTTTAAAAACTGATTTTTTCTATATGTATAGCAAAACACATTCAAAACATTTAATTTCCTGATTTAATTGTTGGCTTAACTTAATTGCAATGACTTTTGTTTTATGCTTAAAGAGTTTAATAGACTTGAAGTTAATTTGTGTTGTTGTTGTTTATTGTGTTATTATTTTCAGCAATTGATATGTGTATCAAAAAAAATATTTTTAAAATAGATTTTATCAGTTTATACATTATTGACAATCTGTACCTGTTTATGATTTGCTAATTAAAAGTGTTATGATATGCTTACAATAAAAATGATAAAATAAATTATAAAAATTATTCACCTTTTTCTAGTTGACTCCAAACAGGTCTCAAAAGTTTAATTTCCTTATCAAATGATTTGATCGATTCGATTGATTTTATAATTATATGATATTTTCAAATAAAAAGTGAAGTTATTTTTATTTCATTTATATTCTC